GGTCAATCGATTATGTTAATTATTGAATAATTGTTGGAGACTCAAAATGTGGATATGCAAGCATGATAACTTAATATGCTCTTCTATATCTCCATGAATCTAGGAACTTTTGCTTGTATTGTATTATTTGGTCTACGTACCGGAACTGATAACATTTCGAGATTATGCAGGATTATACACGAAAGATCCTTTTTGGCTCTCTCTTTAGCCCTATGTCTCTTATTCCTAGGAGGTCTTCCATCCCCACTAGCAGGTTTTTTCGGAAAACTCCATTTATTCTGGTGTGGATGGCAGGCAGGCCTATATTTCTTGGTTTCAATAGGACTCCTTACGAGCGTTGTTTCTATCTACTATTATCTAAAAATAATCAAGTTATTAATGACTGGACGAAACCAAGAAATAACCCCTCACGTGCGAAATTATAGAAGATCCCCTTTAAGATCAAACAATTCCATCGAATTGAGTATGATTGTATGTGTGATAGCATCTACTATACCAGGAATATCAATGAACCCGATTATTGCAATTGCTCAGGATACCCTTTTTTAGTTTAGCTTCTAGTTAGCTTCTAGAATCTATTTCTTAGTTCAAGGTCCCTCTTTACTAACTGGAATCAAAGAATTAGTAGATCTGTTCCGCCCAAAATGGGAATGGGCTGGGGTTATGAACTTATAATCTATAATCTGATGATCGAGTCGATTCCATGATTATAAGTTCATTCCATACCGGACCAGACCGGAATAGGGCTATATACATTCTCATTATGAGAAGGGGTCATTCGAGCGTATCTAAATATAGATACTATGTTTACATTATGGATCTCTCCGTCGTTACATTCCATTTAGGATTAGGAATAGGCGTAATCGGACCCGTTTTTTACATAATAATATCTCTCCTTATTGGGACCCTATTTCTATTCACCTCTTTGGGCTTTCTATTAATCGAAGAAATGGGTTTGATTGTCCATTTTTTTGAAAATATAATATAGAATTTGATATAATATATAAGGCAATCTTCCGGGATAATTCCAAATCGAAAGCAATTTGGATGTCCGACTCAGGCCTATATGCACATGACCGATTCAATAGAAATACTCCAACCACTCCACCTTTTGTATATATTCCATACATCACACTAGATAGATATTCATATTCCATGGAATACGCATTTCACTTTCAAGATGCCTTGGTGGTTGAAATGGTAGACACGCGAGACTCAAAAATCTCGTGCTAAAGAGCGTGGAGGTTCGAGTCCTCTTCAAGGCATAACATTTAATATTTGAAATCTCATTGAATGGAAGCAATTCGATAAGAGATGGAGGTTCGAGTCCTCTTCAAGGCATAATATTGAGAATGCTCATTGAATTGGAATAAGTTCGGCAGCGGATCACGAGATCTTGGGGATCTTCTCTATCTAATGAATGGGGAGTCCGCTTTGAAATCGTTCGCCCTGCACCCACCCCCGAGTATATGCTTCAACAGGAATCACGCACACAAGGGTAGATTGATACAATATAAACCTCTGGTAAAATGCCCCCCCCGTAACCCAGCGGATAAAGTACATTACATAGTCCGTTTTAGGGATTGGCGACTTACCCATTCCGTGACTTTGGCACTGGACGTTCCAAAAATGGGTACTATCGGGTCGGGTGAATTCAATAATAGACGCCTGGTGGCATTCCAGCTTTCCTTCTCCTTTCAGGACCTATCCCCGAAGTGGGAAGCAAAAATATTCTGATAAAGTCGTTCCTCCTTAATATCATCATGACTCTCGAAGTCATGTGTGGTAGCAATACCAAACCAAATATGATGAGTAGCCCGGTCAACTGGAATGTGTATTATCCATATAGGGGATCCTCTAATTGAGAAGATCCATCGACCTGAAATGAAGAGAAGGATCTATCTATTTTATTTAGTTATTCGGTTAAACCAATGATTCATTATTGGAGCAGATAGCAACAACCACCATTTCATCTGACATACGTATTTTTGATTTTCCAATGGATTTACATCTTTCATTAATACCGCTTATCCTAATGAGTTTTACGAGCCTACTGGACTTCAAGAATTCTTGTTTAGGCAGTTCATACCATCCATACATAGTGTTTTGATCTAAGATTTCAATTCTTCCATGTTTCAGCAGTAGCATATTGTTTCATGGAGCTAAGGTCCAAAATATGGAAGAAACAGGTGTTTCCACAACTCTACCACCCAGTCAATTCCGTTCCACTTAATCCCTATTTCATGACCACATATCTTTCATTTTTTGAGATTATATATTTAAAAAAAAATTGTCATATCATTGAAATATTTTATGATTTCAAGTAAAACTAAATAACTGAAAATTGATCTTATAAAAATATATTATTTTAAACATAAGAAAAAATAAGATAGGAACAAATTTGATAAATACTGATAACTCTCAGATAGAGTATTAAAACGGAAAAATCCATTAGATAATGAACTATTGGTTTTAAGCCATCTCTGGCGATGAATCAACAATTCCAAGTGCTTTTCTTGCGTATTCTTGATAAACCAGTGTTATTTTTAAATAATTGTTTTCATAAAATTTTATATATGATTTAAATAACAAATTATGACATTAAAAATTATATATATTTAGATAATAAAACCAAAGGGCTGGATTCTTTGAATTAGGAAATTTGAATAGGAAAAAGAGTGGATCCGCAGGGTCCCAAATGAATTGGCTTATTCGAAAAAAGCCTTGTTCTTTGGAAGATCTATTGGATTCGATCGTCAATATCCAATACGAAATTATTGGAGGTATATGTGGTAATAGTAATTTTATTTTACTTTTACCACCGGTATTTTTTCGCGGGCCCACTCGGATCAGTTATAATCCTAACACTTCCCTCTGTGCTGCAATTTGCAAGATAGAAAACACAATTTCTCTTCAATTCTTTCTCTCTTTATTTCCTCTTCCTTTCTTATATTTTACACGGATTGAGCCTAGAAAACCACTCCCGAAAGTGAATCCCTTGTTTCATCCAAAAGAACAAGACTCTTGGTGCTATTTCAAGATGAAAAATGTCTTGTCTATGTTGGAAAAGAACTATAAGACTCTACGGGACCCTTTGGTTCAAGCCGAAGAAGCAATGTCACTCGATCATTATCAAACTAACTGCAATCTTTTTCTGTACGTGAGGATCCCACCAGAGTGCCTTTGACTTCTAATAGGCCATGAACTAGATCAGAACCATTCTCAACAAGTCCATAATAAGTGATCCCATTTTTTTCATCAGGCAATACAGATGGTTCTTTGGAAGGTACTGATGGATATTTCTGGACTGGGGGATCATAACAAAGATCATAGAATGGACTTGGATGATGGAACAGATGATGAAATGGAGGTGGAGGATGGTGATGCTGACGTTGAGGCGTCTGAGTTCAAAGAAAAAGTTA